CCTTTTAGTACGGTGCGCCTTATGGTCGTGAAAATACGGTAGTTAAATACTTTTGTCCCCGTTTATTCCAGGTTCACTCTGGAGATCTTATTCTTTTTTAGTCCCAAACTGCTTTTAATTAACAATCATATTGAAGTCAATGATAAACTTGTTTGGACTAAAAACAGGACAAAATAGTGTTGTTAAAGAAGAAATGTGTCGGAGAAAATAAAAAGGTCAATTTGATCCACAAAGAAAGTTCCTTTGAAAAGGTAAAAAACAAAGATATTTTGTTTGTATCATTTTGATATTCCATAACTGCATATAAAATATGTATTTGCTTGCTGGAAAAAAAAAAAAGTATAAAACGTATAGTGCTGACACACATTCTGGTGCTGGTTTAAAAAAAAAAAAAAAAACGTAGTTTAAACTTAGTTGGTTCTTAGACTGGTCCAGACCAGATAAGGCCCATCGGGTCGATTGCCATGGTAACAGTCAGACTCGGAGCAATCCTATTCTATGAAACCCAAACAACAACAAACTAAGCCAGTTTAGTGAAACAGCTCTGGTCTCCTTGAGAAAACTGACCTATATTTAGCTTTGTTACTCTAACCTGACCTGATGAAGACCAGCGGTGGTTTGGCCTCGTCTAGCATCTCTTCCAGGAATTTCAGAATTCCGCTTTTGTGAAAAAGGCCTCTGAGGTGTTATTGTCCAAATAGTAGGTTAATCTCATAACTGTTAAAACTAACTGTAAAATTCCTCAAACTGATATTTAATTTCTCCAAAAGACTAAGATCATTGTTGAGTTTGTTAGTGGATAATATGTATATATAGTTATGCAATTAGACTATGTTTTGAATAGCTATAAAGGGTGGGAACTCCTAAAACGTTAATACTACTTGACACTCCTTTTACAAACTTGTTGATTTGACTATATTAATATTCATTCATTGAAGATGTACATCATAATAGATATACATGGTGCATATATTGTAGTTTTGTCTGATTATCTGAGCTGATTCATTTTCAAGGATTTGTGTAACTAGTGGTTTTTATTTATAGTAAACTGACTAAAATAAGAGGGGAGGTGCATGCAGGGAGGTTACCGAAGTCTGCTCTAAAACCCCTGATTGTGTGAAGTAACCCTTAGGGACCTCCTGGTACAGAAACTCCAGACCTAAACCCAAATGATGCTAAAAAACAAAACAAAAAAGCCTTTTACTGGCAGTTTGTTTTTCTAAATGCTTCTTTAACATCCTGCCAACGCAGTTTTGCTTAATCCGACACCATGCTTTGATCCTCCCTCATACATCGTCCATTTTGTGCAGGTTATCACTAAATAAAAAAAAAAAAAAAAACTAAACTAAAAATACTCTTTCATGGATTGTAATTTGCTTAAATCCATGCAGAGATCCAAACTAACAGAATGCATTCACACACATCAAACTAATTCCGTTTCTCTTGCAGGTGAAAAGCTTCATTTACCAGGAAACATTTTTGCTTTTGGGTTAAAAAAACAAACAAAAAAACTGTAATTACAGAAATCTTTTCTATGTAAATACCATTTAATTTCATTCAGTATTTTCTAGGCAGATACAGGACATTTAAAAATGTTGAGGTGAAATAAAAACACTGTCGTTTGCCATCCATAGTATTTCCGTGCTACATAAAAAAACAAGTTATCTTTCCAAGCATTTAATGCAATCCTCTGAGATCATGCACCCATGATGCCTCCCGTATTTATCCATTGGTTTATGATGAATATGGCAGAACTTGTGATTTTCTAAAGTCCGACAAAAAAAAAAAAAAAGCATCAAACTGACCCAGTCTGAGAATAGAAAAGCTAACTCCTCCTTCATCCTACGCTGATTTCACAAAACCCATTTTGTTGTTTGGTTTCCGTTCCGCTGTGTGGCCTGAGTCAGGCTCGGCCCGTTCAGACGTTTTCTCCTTTGGGCTGGAATCTTTATCCTGAGTTTCTGTGTTCTGGTTTTCACCGGAGGGCTTCTCTGATTTAGCATCTTCTGTCTGACCATCTGCAGGCGGGGAGACCACCGGCTCAGGCTGCGGGTCCGGCTGAGGAAACAGGACCAGACAAAAAGATATTTCAATCCATGTCTGATATTTTCTGACTGTTGCCTCCTGATTATCTGCTTACTGCTGGCAAACATCCACCTGATGGGGGACTGATTTTTTTTTTTTTTTTGGGGGGGGGGATTCTGCAGTTTCATAATTATGACACTAGATGGTGCTAAACGGCCTTAAATATTCACACCTCTTAAACTTCAGACTTTTTCAATCACACAAAAAACTTCTCAATACATGATTACAAACTTTAAGGTTTTTAAATTTTTTTTAACCTTAAATCCAGGCTCTTTTGGAGGAATATCAATTTGAACATTGGAAACGTAAATTGTCTGCCTCACTTTAGCTCTTTGCAAATATCCAAATGGAAAGAATGAAAGGAAAATATGAAAGAAAAATTCACAATTTATCCATTTTTTCCGTTTTTACGTAACACCCCAGGGCACCGTTAATGAAGGTATGTCAGCATCTGTTAGAGGATTAACCACCGCAGTCCTCACCTCGCTGAAACCCAGTCCGCAGTGTCTCCGGTCCCGGCCTGACAGTCTCCCCACCATGCTCTGCTGGTACTGCATCTCCAGCTCCTCGTTCATCCTCCTATCTTCCTGCCCTGCAGAGGAAAGAGAAGTTTTGGATCCAGAAGTGGCGCTGTGACTGCAGGCAGTGAGTTTGGAGCACACTGGTGCTGCAAACAATAAGCTGTTTGCAAAGCTACTAAGAAGCTCACCAGTGCGGAAGTGTGACGTCGACTTGTGGTCACCGATGACCAGACGACCGGTGTGTTCTTTCTGGAAAAAAAAAAAACAAAAACAAAAAAACACAAGCTTTTATCTCTCAGCTTCAGGTGACTGAGACAAACTGAAGAAACGTATCCTGCTTTTATCATGGAGCATAGATCCATGATCAGGGAAAGTATACAAACCTTGGTGGCCCCCATCAACCGTAAAAACTTTTGCTTTCTCTCATCACTTCCTAGATCTGCAGTCGCCCACTGAGTCGATCCGTCCTGCCAAGAATAAAAACTCTGCTCATTTCTGTTTATTTTTTTAAACAAAGCAACTAAATGTTTAAAACTTATATTTAAAACTTTGTTAACCTTTGGAGTTTATTTCATCACAATATGTTTTAGTGCATTTGAATTTTCTTTGTTTAGCTGTCAAAGACTGGTCAGAGGGAGGTGGGAAAACTTTATTTTTATTGACAGGAAGAAACACCAAGAAAAGTTTGGAAACTCCTGGATTCTACACACAGAACAGCTGAACAACAAACTGAAGAGAATCAAACAGATTTTCCCGTAGCGGTGCACCGATGGCCGCTTTCTGGCCGGTCACAGATTACCCAACTTTAAAAGATGGACATGCGGATTTATTTATATAAATTAGACTGCCAGTTGTTAGAGGATCACAAAACACCTTCAGAATTTCAATCTTATCTTGCTGAAAAATGCATAATTCTAGTGTTGCACCGATATTGACACCAGTACTGATACCCGATTAAGCACTAAAATGGGGGTATCTGTATCGGTGAGTACCAACAAATAGAGCACCGATGCCATTTTGAGAACCAAAAGTTTATTCAACCACTATCACCCATTCCACGTAGGCAATAAAAAGTTCTACTGGATTCACTTTGTTTTAGTCTTTTTCCTGCTTCACAAAGGTAGGCAGCAGCTTGACAAAGTCATGATGGCAAATATTTTACCTCCAAGTAGTATGCAGTTTCTCATATATATACACACACATAAATTTCAAGCAGATGGTATCGGTATCGGCCGATACTGCAGAGCCAGGTATCGAGAACAAAAAATGGCATCGTGCAGCACTACAGGATACCTGGTTAAACACAACAAACATCTAAGAAAACTGCTTTCAGATATAAATAAAAATGTTTTAGGATCGGTAGGGGGTTATTTTCAGATCTTTGCAGGAGTTGATGGGATCGATATCACATCTTAGTATGGGCTGATCACCAATCTTCCAAAATGAAAGAAAATGGAGGCCGATCAGTGGATTCACCAATATTTTATACAGTTCAATCCATCTGAATGTGAACCCAGAGCTGACATTAAACACATGAAGACAGCAGAAGATTGCACTGAATAGAGAATTTGCTCTAAAAAGTATATTTATCTAAATTAAACTGGATTTAATTTAAATGTAAGCTGAGCAAAATTATCTGGAGATTTTTTTTTTTTTTTTTTATGAATTGAACTGAAAATAACAAACATATTCAAACTTTCATGAAGGGGAGCAACTCGCGCCTCATTTACCCACAAAACTTTGACCATCTGGCAGAAAATAAATCACAGCTCTTATTCTGTTGGTTCTTAAATTCATTTTATCTATTTTATTTTCGCAGTTGGTTCATCTAAGTAAGCCATAGGTTAAAAACAAACGTGTAGATATTGAATTAACTTTATTTTAGGACCTCAGCTCTTCACGTTTTCACTATAAAGCTCGTGAGCAGCAGCTGTTTGCTGCTAGCTTGCTAAAGTGTGCTAACCATTAAATGATTTTTCTTAACCTTTAACACCAGTTTTTTATGTTTAACTCACTTCTGTTGGAGACGCAGGTCGTTTCGTTCCGTGCTTGTCTTGTGGAGAACTCATTCTGACCTACTAGCTCAGTAAAAACAATAGAAACAGTGACTTTATCCCACCAGCAAACGCTAGCTGGAGTTGTCAACAATTCCTTTTTAAGGTAACGATACTTCCTGTGCTCTTCTTCTTCTTCTGCTTCTTCTTCGTCTTCTTCTTCGTCTTCTTCCTTGGGGCAAACGATTCAATAGTGTATCACCGCCACCAACTGGTAAGGAGTTATAATCGGGATTTTGATATTTATTTAATAGATTAAATTGAATAAAAAAAACAACACATAAATCCTTTCAAATAAACCAACATTCTATACACACTGTAATATTAAATGAAAATATTTCGATTTCCCTAAATTGTCTGTTAATTAGTATCTTGGTTTAATATTTTCAAGGTTTTGGATTAGATTATATCTGCCTTTAAAATAATTTGCTCTACGGTTTCTGTTTGATCACAAAAAGTCAGTTTCATCTATGCTGTGTCTCCACTTTAAAAAAAGAGATTTTGAACAAATCTTAATTTTTTTTGTTAATCTCTGCTTTCTTCCCTTCTTCACATTGTTTTCAGCAAAAATCTTTCAAATTTTCTTAGGTAATGCTTTTTTTTGTCCGATCTACTATAATTAGTTTCTGTATCTATTCTTTGTTATTTCCTGTGATGTTTTTGTCGTCCATCTTATTTTCAGTATGCTCTGGTATCCATAAAATCACCAGCCCCATTCATACAAATGCTACATTTAGACTATTGTTACATCTTCAAATGTATTAATTTGTTAAATCCTGTATTTATTTAATTTATTCAAAATAATACTAATTAAAAAATGAATTATTAGGAAATCATCAAAGCCTGTTTTCTAAAAAACCAAATTGCTCACATATGCTCCTGGTTTAATGTGAAATATCTCACCCCTTTCTTAACATTATCTCCCATTACTAACATATACTTGCCATTAAATTACCTGGATTAGCCGAACTTCACTGAAATTTAAAGAAGCAGCAGTTTGTTGCTGAAACATTCACCTCCCACTTTAAATGTTGGCAAATTTCTCTTCACCAAGAGGATTACTGTTGAGTTTACACAAACCAGTCTGATCCAGGAAGGCAAACTGCTCCTGCTAAGCTGGTTATCTGCTATGCACATTAAATCTAGCTGTAGTCACAGGCTGTTTAGTTTTATTGTTTTTCATGAAACTTTTGCATCTTGATTTCATCTTTTGGTAACATTTTGCAAAATAAAGTCATTGTTTTAAATCTGTTGTGATCTTTGAACGCCTACGTTTAGAATTAAGTAATTTTCTAAAGTGTTCTGATATATAAAACCAAAGATATATATGGCTTGATACTTTTAATTATATTTTCTTTATTTATACCACACAATCAAATAGCTGTGCAGTTGCTCAGGTTCCCGTGGAGATGGAAACTCTCGATAAACAATATTTTGTCTGACAACTGCAGCCTTTCATCACTTAACATCTTTTTGATGTAATTTATCAGGGACTGCTATTGATAACGTTCTTTTTTGTCTGTCTTTGGTTACCAAACTGGAAATGTATTTGCCATGTCTGGATTTTTGTTGCAGTTTGATGTGATTTAAGTTCAGCTGAATTCAGCTCCAGATTTTTACATAGAATCAATCTCCCTAAAAAGGGGGAGTGGTGGCCTAGTGGTTAGGGCATAAAGCTTGGAATCCTGAAGTTCTGAGTTCCAGCCCCACTCCCACAAGCTGCCACTCTGGTTCTCTGAGCAAGACCCTTAACCCCACACTGCTACCAGCGCACCCCACGATAGCAGCCCACTGCTCCCCAAGGTGATGGGCTAAATGCAGAGAGTACATTTTTCCAATGTGAGATCAATAAAGTTCAATTATTATCAGTATTATTATCTGCTGCCAACATCATTTCAGGTCCCTTTAGGGGACAAATACGTATTTTTTTAATTTCCATATGCTGTATAAAACAACACATTATGGTGGAATGATTGATTGTGCTTCATAGAAACACAAGAATGTGGTTTTCAGGTTCCTTCTTCATTTTGGCACAAGGCATGATAACAAATATCTTAAATATCTATTTGTAAAGTTGTGTTCAGTTGCATATTTTTTTATAACATATTCGACCTAAAAAAGGCAACATATAAGGACGATGGTTTGGATGAATGGGATTTTTTTAGGTGTCAGTTAAATACTGGGATGTATCAGCAGGACCGGCTGCTTTCAATGGGTCGCTTCTTTTCAGAGCCACCTGACTGTCAGCAGAGTTGATAAGGAAGACTGGAGGAAAACCAGGTCTTTTCCTGGTTATCAGACCTGATGCCTTTAAAACCTGCAGAAAAATCATGCTGCCTGTCTGCTAGAGAGACGCCGTGGTTCTGTAGCTGCTGCTGTTTGCTTGTATTTGAGCTTCTATGGAAAAAAGAAGCAACTAAACTAAAACAAAACTTTATGCTCATAATGGCTTCATGTAAATACATTAAGAGAGATGATGATGTTTAAAAAAAAAAACAAAAAACAAAAAGTTTAACCTTAATGGACCATGATTCTAACTGTCATTTTATTTTTGTCCAAACAACAGTTTGACTTATTCCAAATATTATTCAAATATATCTCTGTGGTAGTTCCAGGCGTATTATCTGCTTCGATCTAATCTATCATTATAGTTAGAGTGCAGCTGCACATTGTTCAGTGTAACCACGCATTCCTGTTGTGATCCTCCTTTTTTCCCTAGAAATAGGATCTCTTTGCTTGTTCACCAAAAGGAAATAAAAAGCTTGCAGTTATGAAGGAGCAGGTGGGTTATTTGAATAAACAGTTGTACTGTCTCATGGCTAGATCAACTCTTTTATTATATTGATTTATTAAAAGTATTGTATTTGTAGCTATTACTACAAAGCGGTAATTGGGATAAAAAGTCCAACCAGGGGACCCCATGCTTTGCTTTAAGTATTTCTAAATGACTTCTTATGCAAATTGTTCATTTTGGTAAGAATAATGTTTCAAATTGTATTATTTATTGATATACTTTTCTTTATTTTTCATTTTATTGTATTTATTTTATTGTATTGTATTTATTGTTTTATTAACCATTTGCTTTTCAAAAATAAAAATAAAAGTATGTTTGTATTTGATTACAGACGCTCCTGAGGGAGAATGTTTTTTCCTATTTCAACAACAAAGCAACATCATTTTTGGTTCTCATTTCTTTAGAACTTTGGTGGGAAATGGGTTGAGTTTAATAATTATCTTATTTTTAAGAGTAAAAAAAAATCCTCCTGGCAGATCATCATAATCACCTGTTCAAATGATGGGCAAACAGCCTTATTTTAAAAAGCTTATATGTATTTAGATCAGTTTTTATGGTGTATTAATCAGAGATTCATCCTTTGGACCAATTTATCATTTCCCTTTTATAATCGACTTTAATGGTTATTTAAAAATGACATTCAGCTTTAAGAATATGTTGCACTAAAATAGGATCAGAGTTTTCATCTGTAATCTACAGCTCTGGCTTTAATACACTAATGATGGCTCTGTTTTTTGTTTTTTTGTGAGTATGCTTTTCTTTTCTTCGCCCCCATGAAAACCCACTACTTCACCTCTAGAAACGCCACCCGTCACTGGGTCTTTTTAATGGTCGTATATTACAATTGTCCAAACAAAGGAATAGGAAGAATATTTCACTGTTCCAAGATTCTTTTTTGAAACCAAACTTTCTTTATGTCTGAAGTGACCATGATTGATTGAAATGGCGCAGAAAATTAAGTGATCAGCAGCATTCAAATGGATAGTTTGTTCCCTGATTAGAGGAATCATATTTAACCATCAATATTTGGGTGTTTTAGTGAAGGTCTGACGTTTGTATTAGGCCTAAGGAAAATAGACCGTTTGCTAGTCTTCAGTTCATAGAAGTCTACAGACTTGTAGGTAGAGTTGAACAGCTGCAAATGATCTGCAGAAAAACTTGAATCAGCCAATCAGATATTATTAAAAATATAGCTGATATATATCTATCAAAAACAAATCCAAGCGGGGCCCAAAAACAGAGCCCTGATCTGCACCTAAAATTATATGATACTCTTTATATAAACACCTCAGCTACTCTAAAACTATTCTGGAAATCTATTACCTAATATTTTGTGAAGTAAAGTGTAAAAGTTTTAACCAGGCCGGAACAATAAACTTTTATTGTAATTTTCACTTAAAAAGTCCTCTATATATGTTGAGCTTTAATTATTTGGTCGATTATTGGCATTTGACTTTATGATCTTTAAAGGATCAGCATCTGTAGGGTTGTTTCTACTGTTCTAATGAGCAGCCATCACTACGTTAAAAGCAAAACTAAAATCAGGATTAGATCTGAATAATGAGCAATAAATACTTATCAGTTTTAACACTATCCCCACTGACAGCTGAAGTCAAATATAAATGACTTTCTCACTATAATAGAACCTGTTAGAACTTGCAATATATTAGACAGCAATTAGATTGTTGCCTCAAAGTAAAGAGGCCTTACCTGCATGCTTTCAGCAAAATACGCTGAAGGATCTGATTAAGTTTGACAGCAGTTCCTGTGCGACGGTCCAGGTCTTACCTGTTTACTCTAATATACACCTGCTGGGACTGTAAACTTTGGACTGAATGACCCGGACCAGATTTTATGCCTAATTCAGTGAAAGTGCAGCTTTTTTACCTCCTAAAGATGAAGACCCAGGTTTGAATCTTAGTCATTTGTTGTAAAAACTTTACCAAGCCTGCGAGCATAATAAATAACATGGGAGCAGCATATCGAAGACACACAAAGACATCCCATTGAAATGTAATTGATTTGGATGTTTTAATGTGTACATCAGGCCATCAGAGCACAGAAACAGATTTTCCCAAGAGTCTTAGCTGCACAGGAAGCTTTTCAACCCAGCAGTCAGGAGATCAAGCAACGCCGCTAATCCTCAGCTAAACAACGCAAGTTTAGCTCTTTAACCTTAAAATCAGAGAACAAGTCTCACATGGAAACTAGCTAGACAAAAATAAGAAGCATTTTACTATTTTATGTATTCTTTTTTAAATTTAAGCATAAGGTGACAAAACCAGGTACACTCTCATAAATATTTCACTGTTTTATTACACTATAAATTCTAATTTATATTTCAGATAATTTTTACACTGACCTATTAAATAAACCTTTCATGATACGTATTCATTTGTATAATAAATCTAATTTATTTTAAATAGGCCTACATGAGCATCAGGTTTATGTATTTAGTATTAAGTATACTTATTAGAAATTCACACTAATGAATGTATTTATTTAAAAAACAAAGTGTGTTGAATCACATAAAGGTAACCTGGTATTAAGCAATTTAGACAATAACCTTTAACTATGATTTCCCTCATTAGTTTTAATTTTTTATTTAGTATACTGCAATAATTCTAAATACATAAAGCTGAAATTATGTATTTCAAATAAATAAGTGATATTAAAATAATGAATATGCATAATGTAAGATTTATTTAAAAAGGCATAGTAAAATTAAATGGGAATTTTTTATGCTTTAAAATTACATAAATATTAACACTTAGATGAAATATTTTAAATTCATTTTTATTAATTTTTTTTTATTTAGATAATTTTTTCTAAATCCCTTTCAGCTTTTTAACATAATGTGCAGTTATTAACAGCTAAAATAGAATCAGAAAAAAAATGTAATAACGTTGTACACAGAGATATCTTGATTAAAAATATCCAAATAAAATTAATGCAATTTTTTTTTATCACAAGCTACCAACCGCTTTATTAATGTAGTACTAAATTCCACCAAAAGGTGGCGCCAGAGTAAATTTAATGGCTGCAGCGCAGGAGACGCTCAAACTGACAGAACAATCCAACTATTCCTGCAAGTTGATCTGGACATTGTTTGGTCACATTTTTTGTAGAAAATATTAATTTCATAACGTTCTTTTTTAAACAAACAAGCCAAACAATATTAACGAAACATTTCTATCAAATTGACAAGAAATCTTTTTTTTATTATCTATAGTTATAATCTTTTTAAAGCAGTGAATTCAGATGATGATTCTGAAAACATTACATTTCCTCTCTTTTTATTTTCATAAATATAAACTACACAAGTGAGAAATCGTGATATGATTTCTGGAAAACTGAACTCCTTTTGTTTTGTTTTGTTCTAAATCCGTGAGGATGGACACCTGGGCCATGCGCCTTTACGCGCACTCACTACGCTCATTAACAAAAAGTGAGGGAAAGTTTATATCAATCGGTAAAAGCTGAAGAAAACTTAAGATTTTAACCACTGAATATAAATTTAGTGTAATTTCTTTAGAAAGTGCATCTGATGGGCAGATCTAAATGAAGTGTAGCGAGAGAGGGTGTGAGAAAGGAGGGGAGGGAGACGGGGGAGGGAGTTATCCTGCCTCTGCATCTTTGCCCGGCAGTGCCCTGCACTCTCACTGGAACCTCCACACAGAGCCGGACGGGAGAAAAAAAAACAACAACACTTTTTTAATTTCACTTCTTGAAGCTGGCAGCTCCTCCGGCTGGGTGTCACTCCTACAGGAGCGCAGAGAGTCTCTCATTCCCTCCCGTCTCTCCTTGAGCGGAGCGCAAACAGGAGTTCCACCAAAGTCTCCGACGCGCAGCGGAGATGGTGACTTTACAGCCGGGATCTGAAAGCAGCCCCAACTGATCTACTTCTTCCTGACCCGCAGTGCGTCACCTTCAAACCCCACAAGAGTCTCCAAACTTTCCCAGAGTCTGCGCAGCGCACGTGGAAGAAGCGAGTCCAGGTAAGAGGAAAAGCCGCTCCGCTCCGCTTATCTCTCCACTGCGCTCACATAACAAGCCGCGATGACAGCTACAGATCCAGCCTGTTTAAAGCTTCACTGATTGTAGCTGCAAAGAAAAATACCCTGAACTTTTATTTCACGCTTAATCCGGAAGATTAAACCAAGATCCCCGTTTTATAATCCTAGTTTATGCAGTAAACATCTCCTAAAAATACTTATTTAACCGCAGCAACAATGTTATCAATAAGTTACAACGCTTTTTAATGTTTCTCTCCTTTTACACTAAAACATAAATAAATTCGCGTCATTTTTAAAAATGGGATTTTAAATAAAAACAGTCACGATCCCAAAGCGCACAGAAATGAGCAGAACTTTTAATTAAACTCAGTTGGATTAAATTTTTAATTATAAAACCAGAAATACGCACAAGCAGATTAAGATTTATTAATAATAATAATAAAAAAATTTTCAATTAATAAAAAATAAAAAACCGGAATGGCCTTAAATCCAACAAAGTGAAAAAATTCCTTTTTTTATTTTGCAGGGAACAAATGTTTTATTTAACGAGTCTTTTATTGTTATTATGAACATTATAATATAATAATATTCTTATATTTATTTCTTAGAACCTATCCAGCAGTGGCCTTCTTCAGGTCTGAGCATTTACAGAATGTGGGCTCTGCCATTAAACAAAAGGCCCTTTAATCACTCATTAACACCATACTTTAGTTGATCCTACCGTTTTGTTTAAAAATTAAGAAACTATTTCAAATTTAGAAATGTTAAAATAAATAGTTTGTGTAGAAAAAATACAAACGGAGGTTTGGGATTATTTTTAAAAGATGAGGAGATTAGAGCAGTAAGAGTGCATTTGTATTTATTTATCTAGATGTCATTTACTTGTACTGCTACTGTGCCATTTAAAGATAGATTTCCCTTCAGATATGATAACAGCATCAGAAAGATTTCTTTGGGTTACCCAAATGTTTTGTTGAGGCAGCCCTACTTTCAAACACAGAAACACAAGATGGAGAGAAAAGCAGGGTCACATCTTAAAGCTCCAAAAAGGTCAGAAAGGTTTGACCCTGGAAGAATGTGTGGGTCGTAAATGAGAGAAAACTGCAGCGGAGGAAAAATTAGTATAAAGTTTTTTAAACTGAGAAATGAAGCATGTTTCTCAGCTTGCAACTTTGGAGGTGAGCAAAAACAACAGAAAGAAAAACAGCAGCAGATCTCTGCGTTACGCCTGCAGTCCAGCAGTTTGAACTTGTGGTGCGTGCAGGGGAGGGGGGGGTCAAGGTGAGGGGTGCAGTTTCTAATCCTGTGATCGTCCAGCTTTCAGCACACTGCTGTGAGGACGAAGAGGAGGAGGAGGAGGAGGAGGTTTTGCCCCGGAGTTCCCTGTGAGGATGATGGGACAGGGGGTACAGGAGGACAAGGCGCACGGCAGTGGGGTGGAAGAGGGCGATAAAGCCACTTCAAGGGTGTTGGCCGTGTTCAGAGCTGCACTACACCTCTGAGATAAGCCTCTGGCCGCCCGCAGATAAGAAGCTTTCAGAGTAACAGAGTGAAAGAAAGAGAGAGAGAGGGAGACCATGCATGAAAGACAACAATGAGTTTTAAAACCCACTGAAGAGGAAGTGCAGGTCCAGACAGCTGTTCCTCTGATTTCTAACATTCCTCATCCCAACACTTTAATCACTTTTGGAAGTTTGGTGAGAAAATGCGCCATTTCCCAGGATTACTCTGAATGGTTTAAACTCATCCTTTCTTTTCTTTTCATTCCGTGCGCATCTACTCCCCCCTTTTCTTCTCCTCAGAGTTCATTTCGTGCGCATCAAACCCCTTTTCTTCTTTTCAGAGTTGTAATTGGGCCCCTGTTTGACAGATCCTCCTGCTGCCATGTTCAGGCCTGCCCTCGCTGTGCCGGGCTGGGCCTGTGCACTAAATCACAATTCCCTACAAGCTTTTTTTTTTTTTTTTTTAATTGTTTGGACACTGGTTGAACAATTTATAGACACCCCTGCCCAACCCCACCTCCCGGGGCCCCCACCACACGCACACCTCTGTTGTAAGTGAGAGTGTCTGTGAAAAACAATCCGGGCTGATCTCCTATGGCATTTTGTTTGGAGCAGGTGCTGCGGGCTGAACTTCCCTCATAAGGTAAAGTGGCATTAGAGCGTCCAAATGGCAGACTTATATATAGGCTGCCAATTCAGCACATTGTTCCGGCCTGCATGGCTGCGCTCACCCCGCGCTGTCTGGACTGAGGGGAGACCCACACCCCCTTCCTCTTCCTCCTCTGTGGGAAGCAGCACTGACAGCGAGCGATCAGGCCCGTCCATTCAGCAGCTGGTCACTCTGTGCTCCATTGTGGCCGCTGGAAATCACAGCCATCAAGCATGAATGAGAAAAGTTGTTCAACATATCTCTGGGCTCCGCAGCCTGGGGCGACATGTGGCCCTTTAGTCTGTCCAGAGTGGATCAGAAGTGAGCCGTGACTTTATAAAGAAAGGAGGTGGCAAGGAATCATTGTTGGAAATCAATGTTTTTTTTAACTTAATTTCAATTCCACAGTGGAAAAAAACTAAAGAAAGTCCAGGGGTTGGTCCTGAAAATATCTACATGTTTCTTTAAATATGATATGAGAGGACAAGCTGTTGTGAATTGTTTTTCAAAGCATGCTCTGCTTGAATAATAGTCGAACTTTATTGATCTCACCATGGAGAAATTTACCTCTGCATTTTAACCCATCCCCGGGGAGCAGTGGGCTGCCATTGTGCGGCGTCCGGGGGAGCAGTGTGGGGTCAAGGGTCATGCTCATGGAGCTGGGGGATCAAACCGGATTCTTGCAACCTTCTCAGAGCACAAGAGCACTGCTCTAACCACTAGGCCAACACTCCTACACTTTCAGGACATCATAATGATAATCCCATCTCTGTGTAGAAATACGTGTGTGTATTTGTATTTATATATATATATATATATATCTTTTAAAATTTATCAGTTTTATTTCTACATTTAGGTTTCAGAATGAAACCGAATTATTATTTGTACCAGAAAGGTGAAACAAAACACTTCAGCGTGGGCAAACAATTACTTGGAAACAAGCTTTCTAGATTACCTAATGACAGCTGATTTATTTTCATACATGAATAACTTTCATAAAGACAAATTGTGAACACAATGACTAAACAGAAACGTACAGTAAAACTCATGAACTGTTACTACAGAGATGCTTCCAGAAGGATTTTAAAGGGTTGGGACGAACAATAATTGGGACTTTAATCTATGAGTGTATAATAAGATCAGTTGTATTACCTTTTGTTTTCTGGTGGCAAAATGACTCTCTGGATAAAGCTGCTCATCTCTGGTTTATTATTTTTATTTATTCTTAAAAGATGTCAATAATTGATTTAGGTTCCTTTTTTTAATATAAAACCTTTAAAATGGCCATCTTTCTGTCTGCGCCTCTTTTCCAGCGCAACATTAAATAAAAACGGTCAAATTTTCTTTATAATATCATAGAATAAATGTAAACTCTCTCTTTAAATTCAGTTCTGTTCTGAAAATATTAATTTCCGCCTGGTATGAGGCCCTGAAGTTGTCCATGCTGGTATTATTGGATGTCTTTCATCCTGCTGGATGACGCTCTAAGAGGCCTTCTGCTGTCTGGATTTGAAGCAGGAGAACAGAAGATACCTGACCAATAAGATTTTTTTGCCATCCCCTCCAGCAGTAGAGCTGTTTTATTTATCCTCGTTACCAAGCTCTACATCTTTTATCCAAACATGGTGTTGTAGATGTAAGAGCTTCCAGATGTTTTGTTTGTCGTTCACCTTCATCGTTTGCGGAAAACCTCCAGATTCACCATTTTCAGCCTGTGGCTGATCCAGAGAGTCTTAATTATTTGTTGTCGGGCTGTTTGAAAGCGACACCAGCCCAGAAATTGGACATGTGTTGTACAAACACAAATTAAACATTTAGCCCTAAGTATTTCTCCCTGGATCCTAAGTGCATATTAGTCAGCCTATACTTATCTCCGGCCCAACGGCACACCCAAATTGCAGTGTTGCTGCTGAAAAAGAAAGGCTTGGGCCCCCGAGAATGAGCACTTGAAGCACGCTGGCAGATGCCCGTAAGTTTTTTTTATAACCTCAAAGCAATCTTAGGTGTGTGTGAGACAGAAGACATTTATGTCTTTTGTGTTTTTGTGAGCATCGACAGAAGAATTCGACAAACATGTGACTAATTGTGCTCATGCTCCTTTACACGTCCAGCCGATGGAGTGTGTGCACCGTGCAACATCTCTCCCTCCTTGGTGCGGATGCCTCTGCTGAGCAGATGCATGGATATTTGTCACTGCACTCTGCTTGTGAGGGAGTTTACTGCTGGATCTCCTTTGCTTTCCTCAACTCTGGGAAAGGAGGGATTCCTTTGTTTCTTCCAAGGTGGTGAACCCCCCCCCAAAAAACAGCCATCATTTACATTAAGGCCCCTAAATCCTCTCATCTACTCACCTTTTAAATATTTTTGTGCTTGTGGTAATGATCTATCCTGGCTGATTTATTTGAAATCCTGACACCAATATCTCTCCCATGCTCTGCATTTGTTTTCTACCTTTTTTATGGTTCATTTTTCTTTCACCCCTGACCTTTCTCTCTGTTCTTTCTGGACTGTAGGCGTGTGTACATCTGCCTTTCAATACAGTAAATACGGCACCAGCATCACCCATCAGATGTCAATAAAATCAGATAAAAATTCCAACGAAAACATTCTATAACTAAAATAACACTTTTTAATCATTCGTTTATTATATAGACATCAGTAAAACCTATATTGAACTCCCTAGGTGTCGTTTTTAAGTGCTTGTCAAGAATATTTCCCCTTTTGGCTTTTATGCTAACCAGCTAATATCATTAGCTTAGCTAAGTGTGAGGTCTGATGCTGTTTTTTGCTTTCCAGCTATAGTTTTAAAACACAGCTAACTTAATATAAAC